AATCTCATCCTGATCCCAAATCCCAAACCCCAAATCCCAAATCCCAGATCCCAAACCCCGAATCCTGATCCCAAATCCCAAACCCCAAACCCCAAATCCTGATCAAAGATCCCAAATCCCGACCCCAAACCCCAAACCCCGATTCCCAGAGCCCCCCACGGAGGATGACGTTTACTGTCGCTGCCTGTCGCGCACGCTGTGCCACACGGCCACTCCTGTCACCGTCGGCTTCTACGCGCCCTGCGGCCACCGCCTGGAGACGCTGCTGGCCAAGGTCACCGGTGCGTCGGGAATTCGGGAATTTGGGAATTCGGGAATTCGGGAATTCGGGATTTCCTCACGGGTTGGGGTCTTGGCGCGGTTCCCAATCCCAAATCCCATCCCAGACCCCAAATATCACCCCCAATCCTATCCCAGGCCCCAAATCTCACCCCAAATCCCATCCGAAGCCCCAAACCCCATCCCAGACCCCCAAATCCCATCCTAAACCCCATCCCAGACCCCAAATTTCATCCCAGACCCCAAATCCCAACCCCCAACTCCCATCCCAAATCCCATCCTGGACCCCAACTCCCATCGCGGACCCCAAATCTCACCCCAAACCCAAATCCCAACCCCCAACTCCCATCCTGACGCCCCGATCCCGTTGCCAGCCTTCATGCGGGAGGAGATGGCGCGGCGCGAAGCCGCCGAGCTGCAGCGGGGCCGCCGGAAGCCGCGCAGCCCCCACGGCTGGGGCCTGCTGCTGGCCCTGTGGCTCCTGGCCTTCTACGAGCCCGTGGTCACCGAGGGCCACCTGCGCCGCAAGAACCTCGAGTTCATCTTCATCCGCTTCAGCGCCTGGGAGTTCGCCGGCTGCGACAAGCTGTGGGCAGGGCTGGTGACCACGCTGTGCCACCGCGTGCGCCAGCACTTCGGGGCGCTGCCCCTCAGCGTCTTCCACGTGCTGGGCTCGCGGCCGCGCTTCGCCTCCGGCCCGTCCCGCCGGGAGTGGATCCTGAAGCGGGGAACCTGCCTGCGGCTGTGGGGGCTGCTGCTGGTGCTGGCCGTGGGCATCGCCATCCTGCTGGTGGCTCTGCTGGTGCCGGGGATCAAGGACCACCACGCGCTGAAGGTGGTGGGCAGCGCCGCCGCGTCGCTCT